ACCATATCCATAGGACGGAATTTGTGGACCTGAAAAATGGTCCCCACAACGTCAAAGTACCAGTTTTTTTATTACATTGTGGGGGACATTTGGTCCCCACAAAGTAATAAAGCTAATCCACATGCACATACACACACAGCTATACCCAATAAGCTTTAGGCCAGCATAAGAAGCCCATTCCAAAGTCTTCAGTTTACTGTAGTCCATCCATGCAGAAGGGCTGGTCCGGCCTGGCCTGCTCCTACTCATCCAGGGTCCATGGCCAAGGCAGAGGTTTGTCATAGAGCACAGAGGAGCATTTTATGTCAGTACAGGGGTGATAACAAAGGCTTGGGCTCTCCGAGTGTAATTGAATCCTCTGTAATGAGAAAGCCTTTCTTTAACCGCTCCATAATCACATGAAAACCACCACAAGATATCTGTCTCATGTCATGATGTCAAAAGGGGGGCTAACTGCGAGAAAAAAAGGTTTTTGTTCTGCGAGAATTTAGTGCTGTCACAGTGAAGCAGTCAGCAGCCCCAACACACACACACACACACACACACACACACATACACAGACACACGCACACACATACATACACACACACACACACAGACACACGCACACACATACATACACACACACACACACACACATACGTACATACACACACACAATCTTTCCCTCTACTTTCCCGTTCAGTGCTTTTTCCCATAGACGTTGCTTCTGTCCATGGACTGGAACACAAACCCAGTAACGAGGCTAATTAAACGGCTGGCTGCCTGTGGAGTCACCCATCAAGGTCCAAGTCTGGTGGGGGGTATTTTGCAAAGGGCTCTCAATTGACAAGCAAGCTTCCTTTACTCGCTGCCAGAAATGTGCCCATTCCCACAACTACTAATTGCCCAAGCTGTGACTCAGAGGTCCTAGTGGGACGGCTGATTTACTAACCTGCCATTCTGCTGCAGCACATGAAGGGGATGGGCCCGGGCATTCAAAACCTGAGGGATTTCTCTCCTTTTTTTGACCTTTTCCTTCTGCTTCTGGTGGGGGGGGGTGTCAGAGGTCACAGGTGACCGAGCATCAGATAAAATGATGGGGCCAGAGAAAGATCGGGAAATGAAAGAGGTTTGTGCAAAAGACGACAGAAATTCAGGCTTCATTCATCTTATCCCAAGCCCTATATGGCACTAACTAATAACATAGTACGGATTATAGTAAAAAAAACATTTGCCTCCAAATTAACCTGATCCCCAGGTACTGACCACCACTGGCATCACTGTCTTACCTTCTACCATTGACTTGCTCCATTGACTGACTTAAGTCTACTGGACATGCTTTGTTGTATGTTGCACTTAAACTTGGGCTCTTGCTAGATTATCTCATGTGTGATATTCAAGTATAGCATTTCTGACACAAGGTATCAAGCAATGTTGCACTCGTTTCCGGTCTATTATTGGAAGCTCGGCCTAGCAGTCCCTGTACCTCAGCTGGGTCCTTGACAGCTGTGTGCTTGTTTGGTGTTATTTGCCTCGCTTGTGTGTCTCTTTGGACATCAGTATCTGACCAAAGAGCATGTTGTACCTGATCATCCAATCTTTAGGTCAGAAGAATACTTTACTGGAAAAATGCCCAGAGTCCAGATGCTGAGAACCACTTACTCTCCCATCTCACCATCCTACTCTCCAGCCCCCCAGTGCTTCAGAAGAACCTGCCTTGAGGGTCCATTTCCTGCTTCAAAAAACACTTGAGCCTCTATGAAGGTGCATAAAACAGCCCTAAGATCTGATCTGTTCCTCTGCTGGCCCACATTGCTGTGGTCCTCTGTGAATGACTAGATGTGTCTGATCTAGCGTCCTAAAAGATCTATCTTCTTTCCATGAAACCCAAACACCTGATACTCCAACCACACACCATGAGAATGGACAGCATTCACAAATCCAAGCATCCAAAGTTTAGGGAAAGCACCAGCATCGCCCAGACAAGCACCAGAGTATTCCCATAATACACACACACACACACACAGACCTGTACTCATATCTTTGTGGGGGCCGTCCATTCATTTCTATGGGCAAAACTCTAATCCCAAGAATGACACCCTTGACCCCTACCCATCCATAACCTTAACTATAAGTAACCAAACAAAACACGAGTTTAGGCATTTTTAATTTTTTTGATTGTAGTCACAGATTTTTACAAATCTGTTTCCTCTTATAGGGACCGAAAAAAAAATGTCTCCACAAGGACAAAATAGCAGGTTTTTATCACTTTGTGGGGACATTTGGTCCCTATGATGTAATATATACATGACCTAAATACACACACACACACAGACACACACAGACACACTATCTCCCACCTCAAATGTCTCCTTAATCCTTTCCAACCTGATCTCAGCCCCCAGTCACAGGCTTTCTCTTGTGCCAATAAGGACTGGGACAAGATCTGGGTGAGTCTGGCCTAAGGTCTGACAGAGAGTACAAAGTGACATCCCCCCCCATGCCAAAATGGGATGAAGTTAATGCCTGTAAGCAAAAAGACGCACAAACTTCCTTCCACTGTCCTCTGAATGCTTTCATTAGCAGATTGCCCCAAATCGTTAACAAAGTAGGTTTTATTAAGTTGTCATGTCCTGAACCCCCCCCCCCCCCTCCCTTTTGTCATCTGCTAACTCTCTGAGGATTTTCTCCATGACATTTTCTTCATATTGGCAGCCATAGTGTCTTCAGCCTCTCGTTCTTTATCCCTAAATTTACTGAGAATGTGCTGCCAGTTGCCCATTAGAAACACCTACCAATGAAAATGACAAACTGGTGTCAGTCTTAACAATTAATACATTAATACAGTAGTGTGGCTCCCTCCTGTACCCCAAAGACTTTAGGTGAATTGGTCTATCTACATTGCCCATAGTGGGTGTGCCCTGCGATAGACTGGCATCCCATTCAGGATGTCCCCTGCCTTGTGCCCTATTTTTGAGATAGTCCCCAAGTTTCCCAGTGACCCTGACCAGTAAAATGTGATAGATGGATGTACGGATGGATGGAAGGATGGATGATAGCCAACTTGTTTTTAACCAATGTCTAAAAAGACTTTTAAGACTATTTTTGCCACATATTTACCACATGGGTACCTGCAAATAAATGATTAACTTTGGAATTAACCTTCTTTTGGAAAAGGAAACATATTGCCCGGATATATCACATACCAGGAAAAGCAGTGAATTTTCAAAAGAATTTAAGACAAAAAAAAACGCTAAATGCTGTCTGCTTCTGTCAAGTAAGAAGCTGAATGCAGTTCCAGTTACAGACACTTGGACGTCCAGTTGGGCTGTTTTTGTTCGTTGATGATCCATATTTTACCCCACTTACTACGCAATGCGCCTTTATTCGAGTTTATATTTCGTCCGTGTTTCAGTGGGGCTTCCTCTCCTGGGACCTGAGCTGGCCATCGTCCAGTCGGGCGTCCTGCTCCTCAGCCGCTCCCTCTGCGGTTTGTGCTGCCCTTCAGCTGCATATCCCAACATCACCAGAATATAAACTCGCTGAAGGGTGACAGGAGCCGCGGAATGACTTTGGACGCCGTCCACGAATCAGCCGGGCTAGCTGAGCATGTTTCAGCCAGCCATATTTATACACCTCGGGCAAAAAAATTTCCTTATCGCACGCTCTGTTTAAAAAATGCTGAACTTCTGTTCTGCTGAAAGACAGATGTGGAATCAGTCAGTGTGGGTGACACCACAAGCTTTCTGCTTTCAGGGAATGTGGACTAAAATCCTAGAAAGGGAACAGCTCTTGTAGCTTTAAAAAAAATGACTGATTTTCCCCTAAAAAAGATATTTAAATGGGACTATAGTTATCCCCTATTCTACCCTTTTTATCCTCCAGTTTAGCATCTATAAAAAAATCACAGTGTACAATATTGCACAAATATTTGATCAATAATATTTACAAACGGTCCACTGAGCTTGAGGAACAGCTGTTCCGGCTAGTTAAAGTGAACTTTCAGGCAAATACAGTTCCGATCCCTGAAAGGGGAACTGTGCAGACAACATGAAACTGGTTCTCAAAGAGAACCGTAATACTCACCCATCCTGCACAGGCTGCACCTGGTCCAGGTCACAGGGAGCCGGGAGCCCACCCAGGGCTCAAGGCTGGGCTTCACCGTGGACGAGATGTCAGTCCTTTGCAGAACAAATACTCGCACACATTACGGGGAATTTACCGACGTAAGTTAACTTGTCTTTGGCGTGTGACACAGAGTACATGCTCCTTAAAAACTCCTCAAGATTCAGATCCCTGTTACTGCAGGTGCGAGGCTCTTAAATGAGGGTGAAGTCAGCTGTCTGTTCTGCTGACAATTTAAAAATATTATTACAAATATTGTTGGTAGCTATAATTTGTGTTTATATAAAGTAGGGGCAGTGAATCATGAATACGGCAACACTTCACTTGAATATAAGAATTATAAAGATGTTTTTTACTGTATTATGAAGGCATCTATGCATGAGAATTTCATAAAGCATTCACAGTGCATAAAACATTTAATATTATGTCTTTTTATAAATAGAAATTATAGCCATGTTTATTATGCTTTATGAATGCATTGCGTTGTGAATGAGTTCAAAGATTGTTAGAGACATGGCATTCATAGAAAGTGTTACCGTAAATATTAATGCTTTCGTTATATAAATAAATACGAATAGTTGTAGTATATCTTTATGTAATATGGATGGATATGCATAGGTTGCTGTTACTTTTTATAACATCCAAGGTCTGGCCAGCCAACCAGATTGCGGGCGAGGCAGTGAGAGGATCCCGAACGCGAATGGGAAGGAGGCGCAACTGGAGCGCAGCTTAGCTGCACTGCGCCACTGGAAAGCGCTCGCTCTCACTGCGGAGCCCAAAGAGCCATCGGGACTTTCGCAAATCACTTCACAAGCCGAACAGAGGGATAAAGGGGAAAAAAATATGGAATGTTCTTTGTTGGACGGCAAAATTGGATTACATATTGTACAGAATGTTTTGCGAGATTTTTAATACTACTTAGGCTACATCATTAGTGGTTTCTTTTGAACTTTGTACAAAATATTATATTTATACATACGTACTATAAATATAGGCCTCTCTGTAAACATACGGGAACGTGTTTTATTTATAAAGCTTTACCGCCGGACTTTTTCAGTAGCCCGTTTTTTCAACAATTAAAGAGAAATAACCATGTTGTTCTACCTCCAACTAAACGCCCATCAAAGATACAAGGACGTGAGCAAAAGGCGTGCTCTGGTCTTTATGTAGCCGGTGTGAGACACTAAAGAAACTTACACCTGTATTTCAGTGAAGATGCTCGTAAGTCCGCCATGAGTTGTGGAGGCTTGCGGCTCGGGCTGTGTCACTGAGGAATGGTGCTGAATTCCCTGCGGCTAGGAGCAATTTTCCGGCTCCTACAGGGTCACTTTTTTCCTGGTCTGGGGGAAACGGGATTAGCGAGCGATGGGAACCGCACTGTACTGCTTCCTCGTCTGCTCGCTGTGCGTGCCATGTGCCACCAAAGAGGTAAAATATCACACGCTTTCAAATGTCTAAACGTGATTTTAATGCTTCGCACGTTTTGTTTTGTTTGTGAGGGAGCCCAGTTGTGCCCATACTGTTTGAAGGTATGCACATACTGCTTTGCAGACAACTGTTTTTAGTTTTAAGTAAAATCTCCGCTGTCAGTCGTCCCAAATGTAGGCTTTATTTTCCACCTACAGCGAGATATCCGTACTTCACTGCGTTGTATGATTCTACGTGAAGCGGCGTATTTGGCAGCGTGTTAAATGAGGACACACGGACTTGTTGCGGATTAAACTCCTAATAAAGTTCCGAGCTAAAGTACAGTTATCCTGACACCTCTGTTATAAACGAAAGTGTTCGACTTTATACATGGATACAGCTGTAAATACATTTGGTAACTGTCGGTAAAAAAATATAGGCCTAACAAATAATATTTATTTATTGTTGTTATGATGAAAGAAATTTCCGAAAATATTTTTGAAGGATTTCTGTTTTATGCAGACCTATTCAATGTCACTAATAATAATGTATGGACGTTGTTGTTGATTGTGTCATTTGATTTGCATTTAAGTTCCATTTTAAATAACTGGAAATATATAATTTACCTTATTTTGATGATTGCAGAGATTCTTTGCTTCGTCCTACCGCCCTATGTTATAATAATAATAATAATAATAATAATAATAATAATAATAATAATAATAAATTGACGTTATGTAATGTATATATGTAAAATCTTCGATGATTATTTTTTTCTCTGAGTTGTACTTTCTGTTTTTTTCTACATGAAGAATTCTCCGATTCCTCGGGACCTTATAGAGAAACTGTCCCGTAGCGAAATCCGCAGCATCAGCGACCTCCAGCGGCTCCTTGAAATCCATTCCGTAGGTAAATTCCTTCCCTTAATTTTAACTGTTTCCACTGAGCTTCTCTCCAAAATACCTCTAATGAATTTATGCGATTTATTGATTTGTGAAGGTCGATATAGATGAAACATACTTAAGCTTTATTTGGCACCCAGGTCGACAGCACAGTTAACATTTCCCAATTAATGATTTTTATTACATCCTTTATAAAGAAATCACACTAACAGACTCTTACATGCTTCACTAACCGTTGCTGTGTTGTGGGCCCCCAGCATATTGACTGTGGGTTACTGGTTTATCAGCCAGTTTATCTGTGTCTTCAGTTTTTGTCCAGCTCACATGCAGTGGGTGCGAACTGATTTCCAGGTGCTCCCTGGGGAATTGATTCATCAGTAAAAATGGTATTTGGTGATTATTAGTAAATAAAAAGTACGACTTGGCTAATGAAGGATCAGACTAACGTAAATGCATACCCTGTTTGTTATACGGCCGAATTCCTTTCAAAGTGATTACCTTACATGCATAGCTGAGAGGCTCCCAGACCTGAAATCTTGCGTAGCCAACATACTGTACTCTGCACACTTGGACATCACCCATCAAATATGTTTCTAACCAAAACTATTTTGGGTTTATATGACCTTCTGATTATCTGAGCGATTATATTATGTGTTACGTTACTTTGTAACCGATGTCGATACTTCGTAATCAACCTAGCATCGGTGGAAATTGTGATAAAATAGCCAATAATGATGATAGAATATGCAATCACTCGTATGATCACTCGCCTTGAACTGTGAGTCGCACTGGTGTGGTGTGCTATTTATAGCCATCATTGAGATGCAAATGACTGGATCTAATAGGCAGCGCTTAAGAGGTCAAGTGGCTAACTTCATTATACTGCTGTCATTCCTACCATGACGGCGGCGGAACGGCCAGCGTCTGGTTATGTATTATTCATGCAGAAATTCCTGCATGCCAGATGAAAGGAGTTCCGCTTTTGTGTCCGTGATGCACAGCAAATGAGTTTTTAAAAGCAGCACTTTTCTGTCCCATTGAGGTTCCGCGCCGAGCAGAGCACAGGACGAGGTGTCGGTAGTGGGATTAAACGTAGGAATGTTTTCTGTGGCAACAGGATCCCCCATGTTGTTGCAGACGCATAAATATGTCAGATGACATGATTACTCGTGCCAGCCCTTCAAAATTATATAAAGTTTAACCTTCATACCTGTCTGACTCATAGATGTACAACATCCTTGCCCATAAAACAAGGCACCCCTGATATACGTGTGATTTTGTACTGGACTGTTGCATGTTATTCACCAATGTTCCCCCACCCCATGTCATACTTAAGCGTCTAATCTTTTAGGAGGTAGATGTGAAACCTTTATTTGACCCCTTTTCCCGAGACTTAATAGTTAAATCATCAGTAACTCCCTAACTACTCAATGTAAGAGGAAAGAATGGAATCCTGGGTAACAGTTAAAAAGGTACAGTATGCGGCAGTTTGGGGTTAGGCTTAGGAAGATGTTAGTCAGCAGTGCGCGTCCGGCAGACGGGTTTCCACCTTCCTGTTCACCTTAGCAGACCAGCGATGGATATAGTATTAAAGGAACCTGACCTATAGCCAGCGCATGCAGGAGCAGGGCAGAGCTGGGCTGCAGATCAGGGGCCTGGGACAGGGTCCTGTCTGTGGGAAGGAGCGGTCAGATGCTCTGGCGCTAACAGTAGGAGAAAGAGCTGGTGGAGCCGGTCAGGTCAGGGTCATTGTCCAGGTCCAGTCTCGGCTCAGAGCACTCATTCAGAAGCCGGGAGTGGCTCCCAGAACCAGACTGCCGGCCGACTTGGATCGGGCCATTGTTTTGCAACATGTTAGTCTGACAATGCAGATCTGGCTTCTAAGGGCTGCGTTTCAGAGTGGGCCGTGGTCTCTGGTGTAGTGTGTTGGATTTAGTGCTCAGGGTGAGGCCGTGAGAGTTGTGGGATTACTAGGGTTGTTGTACAGTATGAACATCATTATGTGGGGTCTTCAAGGAACAAGGCTGATGAGAGAAGCTTTGGAATTTTCCAGCAGCTAATCAGATGGGGGTTATTTTGGCGCTCTTCAGTAGACACTATTTAGGACTCTTTGAGTCACTGTCTTAATACTTTTTTTTGCCTTGTAGGACAACATTACTAAAAGGTTCCTTTGTCATCACAAAGAATCGATTAATTCCCAGCTTTGATCTGATATCAAAGTGGCTTATCTGTGTATAGTTATTGTGAGTGATTGTAATTTTTTTTTGGTGAGTTATTGGTAGGGGGGCGATGTTTCAAGAGGGGTGACAGCTGTAACTGTAGGGGCAGCTGAGTGGGAAGGCTGTGTTTGCTCGCTCAGTTCTACGTTTGCAATGTGTGTTTGTCGATTAGACAACGCTGATGTGTGTTTGTAGGCATTGTGGTTTGTTTGTGTCTGAATGCTTGCATGTGGCTATGGTTATGGTGCTTTGTGTGTTTGTGCTCAGTCTCATTGGTGGGTCGCTCAGCATGCCATGGAATTAGAAGCGTTAGTCAAGTACTGTCATATTGGGGCACATTCCGGCCTGTGGGGTCAGACGGGTAGCCTCCAGTTGTCACGTTCAACCTTCCTGAGGATCAGAGTCCGCTGACTGACAGGCGAATGGCTAGGAATGGAAACTCCCCTTCTGTCCACAGTAACGTCAGGGACTATATTTGGTCGGGGCGAAATCGGCCCGGAACTGTGGTGTCCAAAACAAACAGGAGAATTAACACCTTGCAAGGGCATGTGTGCAGATGGGAAAGAAACAGCTGTCACCAGAGTATAAAGGTTTTACGATACAGCTGACGTTCACGATCGCGTGACAGACGGGCATGCAGGAATGGATAGAGAATGTTGAGTCGCCATGGTGATAATGCACCATTCCATTCATAGAGGGCTGGGGATTCTGGGAGAGCTCCATGGACACTGTAACAATTTTTGGGGAATTCGTGTCCAACTTGCTGAGAAAATCCACTAATGTGAAATTTATGAATATGCTATTCACACGTGCATACTTTATGAATATGTTATTCACGTTTAATTACTCCTAGGAGTTCAGTTAAAAATCAGTTTTAAAATCTGTCATATCAGTTGGTGGGAAACCAAGCCCTTAATGAGGAATAACTGTAAATAATCCAGTACTGGTTCCAATCATCCCTATAGGGATCATATCTCTTGCTGTTTATGGATGCATTACTGACCTGTTTGCATTGCTAGAACGCAGCAGTCTCATTACTGTGTGGTCTTCTGTAGACAGTTTGGGGATTTAAGAACACTTTGAAGGTAAAGAAAGAGAGAGAGAGAGTTTATGAAGAGAATGAAGTTGGATCTAACTGTAGCTTGATGAGCCATCTTAATTCTTTCAGGTTTCTACTGTACCAAAATGTTTGTTGCCGCTAATGTTGTTTAATGGCTAAAAGTTATAAACATTATAAACTTATAAACAGACTTTACTTATGTGGTCTGTAAGACTGTGTATTTTTGCTAATGTTCTCTGTAGTGAAGGTCACATGACGGTTCCCTGTTATTTTTCTGTTGGCACAGGAAATGACGTCATAGAGGAGACCAAGCAGAGGTACCACAAGGACATCTGGCACCACTACACAGATGTGAAGAGTTCACAAGGCCGTATCAGGCAAAAAAGAAGCATCGGTAAATCGCACCCTCCCCAGCCACATGCTGTCCCCTTCAGAACAAAATGATTTATAAGATAATATAATTTTGGAATAACATGTGGTATGAACACGGGTGAAGACTCGAACAGAAGACAGAAGGTTCTGGAGCAGTGCCACCTCAGTAGTTTCCAAGAGTTGACGTCAACTTGTCGGCACCTAATAATAATAATGAACATAGAAAAGTCTCTTAAAAGAAAATTACAGCTAGCTTTTCATTTCTGCAAAATATATTCCAGGATCACAGGTACCGTAGAAGGTTCTGCCAAGACCATAAGCCCCAGGCTGCCATCACTGTCTGCGTTTTCTTGGGGTGGGAGATGTGCATGAACAGGATGTAATTCAGCATATTAAGGATCTGTGCCCATGTCCAGAATGTTGTAGATTTGAATCCCTCGGCCAGCAGCATGATCATATCACCACAGGTTCCTTGAGGAAGGCTGTTAGCCTGTCCCTGGGCCCAGGCTAGCTGTCTGACCTCTGCACGTCTGTGTTGCTTTAGACAAAACCATCTATTACATAAATACCTGGGAGGATAACAGCCACTCTCTCTGGCTGTGGTGAAGGAGTGCAGCGGCTCATGATTGGGGGAAATCCCCCATTTCATATTTCCAGTCATGGCCTGTCAACCTCCTCTATACTCCCCTAATGCAGGAACAGTTAGACTCTTAGAACAACATGCAAACTAAATTTATATCTGTGTGCGTGTGTGGAAAGGCAGTTGCAACTTTTATGTGTCTGCTTGGCTGAGTGTCTATATTCCCCTTTGTTTTCTATGGTAACGAAACACATCTTGTATGTGAGCAGAGTGTCCATCCTCAGCTGAGTGAGGAGTAGAAATGTGTTATGAATGTAATGAACAGGGGCTGCATTACAATGTAACACATCAGAGCAGCATTACTCAGCCCAGACCAGCACAGCTGAAGCAAACAAACAAGAACAAACAATCAAGTGCTACAATGTAATGAACAGGGGCTGCATTACAATGTAACACATCAGAGCAGCGTTTGTCAGCCCAGACCAGCACAGCTGAACCAAACAAACAAGTGTGCTGGAAGCTGGGTGTGAGCAAAAATGTGGACTGTCTGGGTGATCTCCGAGGACTGGACTGAGAAATGCTACATTGGAGCCATAGTATAACATAATAGAATACTGTACTGGATTGTGACCACTACCCTGTACACCCCCCGCTCCCCAGAGGAGGCCGTGCCAGCTTCCTGTAAGACGCGGACGGTGGTGTACGAGATCCCGCGCAGTCAGGTGGACCCCACCTCCGCCAACTTCCTGCTGTGGCCGCCGTGCGTGGAGGTGAAGCGCTGCACCGGCTGCTGCAACACGGGAAACATGCGCTGCCACCCGTCGCGCAGACACCACCGCACTGTCAAGGTGACGCAGGCCGAGCGTGCCTTAACGCACCGATGCATGCATGGGGACTTTCTACCAATTGCAGTTTTAATGCAGTATGCAATATGATAGATGATGTACTCTGCATTCACCTCACTGCAATAATAAACAGCAGGTAAGGTTACAATAGCCTGGTTCTTCCCATAATGCAGTCTGACCCTTTTTGTGGCAGCTAGCAGCTCTGTGAGACCCCCGACACCCAAAAGGCTGGTGCATTGGCTCTCGCAGACGCTGCCCTGAGATCAGCTGGCATGTGGAAATTCGAGATATTGATTAATGAACAGACAGATGAGTGTCTGAGGGAGCTGCTTGGAGTGCGGTAGCCAGCGGCTCTTTCCCGTGTTTTCCTCTGCGTCTGTCCACACGGGAGCCTCGCGGTTGTTTTTTATTTGGCCTTAAAGCAGTCACAGCTCCGGCAGGTAAAGCTTACGCTTCTCTTTTCGTGCCAGGAGGAGGGATATGTAGTGGGATATGAGTGTTGTTTTGTTTTTTTTGAATGCGAGAGCGAGCCGGGAGCTGCCATGGCCCTGAGATATGTCAGCCCGAGGAAACGCTGACCTGGCGCTAACCTGCTGAACTGGGGCTTGGCTCTGCATGGCATCTTTCTGCAGCTCTGCCCGCTTTGCCAGCAACCCCAGCTGGGTTTAAGATTAAGGTGAAACTACCCCCATCCCTGTCCAGAGAGTCTAGCCCCCTATCCGCCCCCCCAGGAATGCACCTTTGAACAGCCCCTGAGCCCATACACACATTCACTTCAGAAAATCACCCCAACCCCACACGCCTTATTATCCAATTCAATTAAAAATCTCTCTTCCTGTTCTCAGTGACTCTGTATCTGTTCTTTCATCTCTGCACTTAAAACCTCGCACCTTTAAGCCATTATATCACCCTTTCTCCATTTTGAGATTCCCCCTATCTCTCTCTCTCTGGCTCTCTCTCTTTCTCTCTCTCTTTCCTACACATAGTCTTATTGACACTTCATGTTCATTTTCATTTTCATTCTTGTTTGTTTATGATACCTGAACATGCATAAGTGTAAACAAAAAAGCGCATGACTGCATTATAGGGTGGAATTAACGGCTAAATTCTTGGCGCCCTTGGTGTCAAGTCCTTGTTCGTTCATGTATGGTCCAGGCAAACAGTTTTAGTTTCCCATTGCTATTCATATGACATATTTTGAATGTTTGTTTCCTGCAAGAGTGTCCATCACTCCCTACTTCTGGTCGGTCATACAGGAATTTCTTTAGAACGACAACTTCTTTATTGACATTAAAAGGGTTTCGTAGGTCAGGGTGGAACTTACTTCTGCTGGAAATGGTGGAGTATGTGTGTTTCAGGGAGGGAGGAGAGAGATTTCTGCTTTGGCTTCAGCTGAATTAACAGCTCATCCTCCCCCAACCCCTGACCAGGTGGCCAAGGTTGAATACGTCCGGAGGAGGTCAAAGTTGAGGGAGGTGTTGGTGCGACTCGAGGACCACCTGGAGTGTGTGTGCACATCGCAGCACTCGGACGTGCAGACAGGTACCTAACGCTCACACGCCTGTACAGGTGTCACACCATAGGTGCCATGGTGACATAGCGGTGTCACACCATGGTGACATAGCGGTGTCACACCATAGGTACCATGGTGACATAGCGGTGTCACACCATGGTCACATAGCGGTGTCATACCATGGTGACATAGCGGTGTCACACCATGGTCACATAGCGGTATCATACCATGGTGACATAGCGGTGTCACACCATGGTCACATAGCGGTGTCACACCATGGTGACATAGCGGTATCATACCATGGTGACATAGCGGTATCATACCATGGTGACATAGCGGTGTCACACCATAGGTGCCATGGTGACATAGTGGTGTCACACCATGGGTACCATGGTGACATAGCGGTGTCTCTTGTCAGGGCTCCTGCGGATTTTGGGCCCCATGAAACCCAGATCCATCCAATTAGGTTCCAGATTTTTAGGGCCCCTGTCACTCAGCATTATGATAATACTCAGTTCACCAGCCAATCGCCAGGTTTAGTAGACATGTTTGAGCAGGGAAATCTGCAAACTGTGTTGCGGACCGTCCCTCCCGGACTGGAATTGGGGAACCCTGCCCTACAAGTTCAAAGGCTAACATGCCCTTGTGTGGAACGTTAGGGGACGGTGAGTGACTCAGTGGGCCAAGTCTCTGTGCCCCGGCCTCAGCAAAACTGTCACATGTCCATGGACCCTTGAGCGAGGCCCTTAACCCCCAGCTCCAGGGGCTCTGTATGTTGGCTGACCCTGCACTGTGACCCCCCCCCAAAACTATGGAGAGCAAGATGGGGCCAGTGAAGAGAAGCATTCCAATGTACTTGTGCATCTTGCACATATGAGCTTGTTTGTTTGTATACCATAATAAACTCAAAAATAAAAAAGCATAAAAAAGAGTGAGTCTGTCCTCTTACAGTATTTTATAACCTTGGTAACTTGTGGATATTATCAATCAAATAGATTTACCCCATCTATTCCCACCAATGTTCTATTATTATTATTATTATTATTATTATAATATAGCAGGTAGGTAATTCTCCCTCCCTCTCCGTCTCTCAACAGATATGACGTGAGTCATACAAGGTCTGGGATTCCAGCATGGTGATGGGGGCGTGGGGCACGACCTTGACCTCCACTGATCCCAGACACGCCCTCCCACGTTTGCCTTTCGAAAAATGCAGCCAAATAGCAAATGCAGAAGCAGCGAAGTAGCAAAACAGCAAACACAAGGACAAAGGTGTTGGCAAAATGGAGACTGTCGTTCTGCACTGCCGGTGTCCGGAGGCTTCCGCTGGGCCAGCTGCTGATGATGGGAATGACAACAGCACCGAGCTTTGAACGGGACTCAAGCATGCTTGAGGTTCTTGGTTCTGTCACAGAAATTTGGTAAAACTGGTGGAGGAGGAGGTGCCAGAAGTACACAGGGCCTTGGTCTGCACAATACGTGACACATGGGGAGCTGGACCATTAAGGACAACAGGAGCACGCCCCAGTAAACCAGTGTCTGATGGCCTTACGCCAGACCTTGCTTATACCCTGAGAAACAGGTTTTGATACCGCCGGCTGTGTGGACTTGGACAGCATTCCACAAGTGTAAGAAAATATGATTTTACCGGGAAGCACATTTTAGACTTGGCGTCAGCTGGTGACTGGATCCGGCATTAGTGAGGATCATGGAAGCTGATGGTGGAGTCGCAGGAAACGGGGACAGCCACTGACGTCCATCCGACCGTGTAAATCGGGACAGGAAGTGGAATTGATCCCTTAAGATAACAGACAGGCCTTTTTATCAAGACATTGGAACCTTGGAAAGATGGAACCTTAGAACCTTGCACGGAGACGGCAGAATTCTGCATGTTCTTTAGGGTTTCCTCACCAATGGTGGTCTTTCTTTTGGTGGAGCTGGCTGGCTGATTGTCTTTTCTGTTCAAGATACGTATCTACACCTTATTTTTATAACCATTTGTTACTTGTTTGATTCTCTTGCTGTACAAACAAAACACCTTCTACTTTGGGTATTACTACTAATAAACTATTTATATCTATCACTGATTTCATTGTTACTTTGGTTTGGAGAGACAAATGTTTACAGGGATTTCCACTGTTGTGTGCCAGTCCCACCGCTTCAAAGAGAGGTCTGTATTTTACCCTAATACTCTTTTCTGTGTCGACCTTTGTATATCTGTTGAAATGGGCTTTGTTTGTTTGTTGAATCATACATGTACAGGCACAGGTTGTCTGTTCCCCCATAACTTTCCACAGTAAATTCTGTAGAAACCTGTGTCCCCACGATGGTCATTGAAGACGAAATCTTAAGTCTGATGTATTGACTTGTATGGGTTGTTTTGAGATGATGTTTTATATGCAAAATTCATTAGATTGTCCATGTTTGGGGGTAATGAGAACAAAAGAAGGCAGTAAATTACTTTTTTTGATCTTACTCCTAATATGGCACGTTAATACCTTCAGGTGCCCTTTTTAACGCGTCATGTCGACGCCACCTGGAGGGAGGTGAGAAATAGCGCCTCCCATCGCTGATTGGTGGGCTTGTTGCCGACTGCAAGCCTCATCAAACGAGAGGAATCCAGTCACCTGATCCCCCTGAAGGAACCCACCACGTTCACATCCTCTGGAGCTTCCACACCACACACGCAAAATACAGCACAACAGGGATCCAGTCAGTAGTTGGCAGTCCCAGGATACGAATGGGATTCGATGCCTAATTCTCCTTGTGTCTTTAAGTCAAATTTGTATGTAAGCTGGAAAAATACTGATATAGAACATAATAGTAACAATAATAATACTAATACAGTTATAACAAAAGTAACTACATACGGTACTGTACTATACTGTACTGTACTGTACTGTGCCTCTAGCCAATGAACCTCTGAAGCTGCTCAATGTTTTCACAGGGGTCACAAAGTAGTTCTCGCATTCCTTATTACGAACCAACATATTTAACCCGAATTTCAATACAGCAGGCTTTATGGCAGTCCATTCGTAAGTACGAGATGTCTGTAAGCCAGACGTTCTTAACCCGAGGACTGCCTGTTTCCCTGCTGTAGGATCATTGCTTTGCCATCTGGGGGGACTGCTAGGGTCGTCTAATACGATACCATCCATTTGATCCTGCCAATTCAGAGAGGACAAACAAACAACCCAGCATGGTAACAGGATGACACTGAGCACAGGCCAGCTGGCTGTTTCATTCGCGCCACATTTTTGTTTCATGTAGCCACATCTATTACGCACAGGTGCCATCTATCGTCGAGAGATGCTCTTGTAGTTCTGTTCAGCAGGGTGTAATGTAAGATTGTAAGAGCAAGCAACTTCAGGTCCCATTAAATCCCAAAAATGGTGGGTTTACTAATCTGAAGAGAGATTCTCCTGCCAAGGATTGGTATGACAGACAAACACACATGGAAGGGTGTTGGGGTCTATTTTCCAGAACATTCCATGAGGCCGTTGAGCCTGACTGAGATGGAAAAATGCACCGAGTGGCGATTTTGTGCATGCTTGTGGCCTGCATGTATGTGCTTCACTCCCTAATCCCTAAGCGTTTGCTAAACATACTTCGAATGAAAAATGACTCAGTGGTTCATGGTGCAGTGCAACCATCCATTGTGGGCTAAAGAAGACTGATATCTCACACAACCACAACAGCGAGACACCTGCTTTCAGGAGTGATAATGACTAATGACCTGCCCCTCTAAGTTACTGCTGTCGAATATTTACACAAAATAATTAACCTGACCTACATTACTGAGCATCTATTGGTATTAATAGGTGTAATCCACAACTATATGAATCACTCTCAGTACAACTTTTCCTCAGTAAATAACACAAGCTAACAGACTCCTATACTGGCCGTCACCTACTTCCTTTGATTTTTGGTCTCTGCAGGCAGCGTTTAATCGAAAAGCCTCAGGGCTGATGCAGACGTCCATCTATCATGCCAGTGTAGTCCCCTGAATTTAAACTGGGCAGAGATTGAGAGTCTGGAGACAGTTCATGAAGGAGAAGGCAGGGAGGCATGCGGTGATGCTTTGAGTTACGATGGGCGAGGCGGGGTAGGGGGCGGACGTGATGCACACAGGGGTCATGATTGGTGTTTTACTTTTGTTGCAGCAGACAATGAGTGGGGAGGTCTCCTGGTGTGAACACAGGCTGTAAAAACCCTGTCCCCTCGTGGGGTCCTAGCTGTCACCTGATTGGTCGACAATAGGCTGGTCAAGGGTCGGGGGTCATAGGTCAGACAATGGGAAGCAAAGTGGAAGTGGCTGAATGAGGTATAAATCATTCTTTGTCTCTATGAAACGGTCCTAAGCTCTCCATTATTATTTCACCAGTGCAATTTTCTTTATTGGGATGAAACAATGCATTTAGGACAGTCTGGGGTTTAATGGAAAACACAGTTAAAGAGTAACTTGGCTGGACACTACCAGTGACCTTCCAGATCGTAGAAGGTAACTTGTAATGTAACATAAATCATGACAGCAACATGAGAATGTGCCGTAGTGAAGCAGAGATGGTGGTGAAGCATCATGACTGACCTGAGACAGATAAGGAAGGGATCCCTGATTAGATTGGCTGGACTCTTTTACCAAAGCAACTCCTAAATGTTACCTTTAGAAAAAGTGAAGAACACTCTTTGACGTGGTGTGATAATTATTCACAAGTACAAGTTAACATGAGGGCTAATCAGTAGTGACCGTCTGCTGTTAATGGTGCTCCGTTCACCAAAGTGTTTGTGAATGAAAAAATCTAGTCTGTGCAGAGACATTCCAGCTCAGTGATCATTTCAGCTTCCGATACGCTGTCCAGTTATGAAGTGTTTTCTTTCAGAACAGCTTCAGTAAAGACAGGAGATGTTAAAAAATTACCCATATTACCATTCAATATTCAAAAAAGAGACGTTATAAAGTTACCTAGGTAATGTAGCTTTATAAACAAGTTTCAGAAGTGCACGATGTTCCTCTAGATCAGGGGTTCTCCAAAAACCAAACCATAAGTTAATGCGGACCCCGCCGATAATGCACCCTATGAATTAATATGGTTAATGTGGTTTGAAGTACAAAAATACAAGGTAGGAGCACCAAACTTCAAACTCATCATAGTATCCCCCCCCAATCCCCCCCCACCCCCACAATGTCAGAGAGTTGAAATGGTTAGCGAGCGTTAAACCAGTCTTTACCTGAAGTTCATGATTGTTATATATTAATATCTAATATAGAAAGTCGTTGTTAATTCATTAAAGTTTATGAGATGGTGTTTTGTTATTGATAATTTTTCTGGAAAAATCTGTGAACCTTTGATCAAAAAGTTTGAGAACCCCTGCTCTAGATTAAAAACATGAAATCGGTACAACAGTTTTCTTCCTCTAATATCTCCTTACATTTGATTCAGCTGTCTACCCCATGGCCTACCATTCATCTCTGCCATCATTCTTTCACACAACAGTCATTCAGGATAGTTCTTCCATGTTCTTGAAAGCATGCTCTTCTGACTACAGTCTATGGACCAAAACCACCCATCTCCGACTCACGTACTTAGTGGGCCATGTGTTACCTTTTGAGAGTGCTTCCAGAGATCAGGTGGTCCAGACCACCCTGATACAGACCTCAGCCAATAAGAGCAAGGAGGTAGCAGCATGTTGGATTCCGGGTACATTTTCTAAAGCTCATCACACCTTCACTGCCCTTCCTGATTTCATTTTTCATTTCATTCTTCTCCTTTAACATATTCTCTGTCATTTCTATTATACCTCGATATTTTGGCCTTTTTGAGTTTTCCTGCTTCTCTATGCTAAATTTCCTTTGCAAACAGGCATTTTCACTTTTCTCTTCATCTCGCTGCTGTCCTTTTGTTTTTATTTTTCTTCGTGCTCTTCCTTCGGAACATCTTCTCTGCGTACCGGAGGGTACTGGGTCAAGACAGATTTGCTTGATTGACACACAAATGGAGCCCCTTTTCTCTCCTCTTCTCCTCTTTCGCTGCCTTTTCTTTTACTTTGTTACGCTCAATCTGAAGTCAGCACTTAAAGTCCCATCCTTGGAGCTGGGCAAGTGAACCGTGAACAGAGAGCTAACTTTGTTAAAGAAGGTGAAGGAGACAAACGGCGGGAGTAAAAATCACAGGGCAGGAGAGCTGGAGCGAGACAGCAGATACTTGTGTGTTTTTCTTGCTGGATGATTTCAGTGTTTTCAGATATTGGATTGTTTATTGTGGAGGCGCATAAGACAAGGCCTAGGATAGTGTATTGGTTTAGCAACACACAAAGTCTTTACTGCAAGCCCTTAGCTCCATCATACTTGGTAAGAGACCAGGTCTAAATGGGTTTTAATGTTCACAAGAGGAATTTCTCTATCTCTGGGCTAGGTTCTTATGTTGTGTTTTTGTGTTATTGTATCAGTACATATCCAGATGCATATTTCCTTGCATATGAATGAATCTGTTGATTGACAAATGACGAACCAATAAGCAAAATAAAAAAATACAAAATAGCCCATTTCTAATCAACAATGCTACACTGTCTGTCTAGTCTGTGTGCTATCAACACAGACTTTCACACTGGCTTTCACACTGCCAGGACTTTTTTCTGGAACCAGAAACCTTTTCTGGAACCAGGGAGTTTTATCATGTTCACACAAAAGTTCCTACAAGGTACAAAAGTTCTAAGTCGAGACAGCCCAGGACCATGTTCTGGAACTGCAGTGTGAAAGCGCCTAGTGTTTTCTTTTTGATGTATTGTTTGAGAGGTAAATGGTGATAAAATGTCTACTAGCAGTCATTGAACCATTGCTTAATGCCACTAAATGGGTAAGTTTAATGAGCATAATTAATGAGCAGAATTGGTATTGGTTGGTTTTCAAAGGTTTTTTGTGTGGCCTGCATTGAATTATATCTTCTGAAGTCCTACATTTTTTATTGTTGTTGCAGTAGCACTGTATTGTCAGTATAAACAGGCATTGCAATTTGTCATAAGACTATTGTAACTGGAGTGGCAATCATTAGATTCATCTGTACACTAATGTCTGTAATTAAATGT